TCTCATTTCCTCCATGAACTAGACCTTTTTTTTCAATTTGTTATGGTGGCATTCAGTATTGAGCGTAATGAATACCGTGCAAGTTCGAATGCAAAAGAAAGAAATAGACTTAATGATGACTCAAAGGTGCATTTCAGAAGCATTAAAAAAAAGATTTGATGAGCGAAACCACATACGATAATTTTATTTATTTATTTATTTATTTACACCACCAACAGATAAACCAATTATTGGTGGGAGAACAGAAGTTAACATAGTACAAACCTGAAGTAATTAATATACATAAGAAATATAACAGTCACAAAACTACACAATTATATAACAGATTTGAAGAGGATCTTAATAGAGGTCACATTTGTATTAAATATATTAATTCTGTTTTGTAGATTTCTTAAACAGGTACACATGGAATATAGCGGAGAATGCAGCAGTAAGTTGGTCCTGCGGGTTGGTAGATAAAACGTTAGGATCTTTCTGGTGAGACATCTTGGTATATTAAACGACAGGCGACTTAGAATATCCGGACAGTCATATTGGTTGTGAATAACCTTGAATAAGAATATTAGTGAGTGCATTTTTCTTCTTTGGTCAAAGCTTAGCATACCGTGCCTCTTTAATAATACATCTTGAGGAACACCTATTTCTGGATAGATACCATCTATCCTGTAGGACAGATATTTCAGAAACTTGCGTTGTATTTTTTCTAATGAGTCACAAGTCGTCACATAGCAGGGATTCCAAATAATTCTAGCGTATTCAAGTTTTGACATTACAAATGCATTATACAGCATGAGTAGAGCATTTATGCTGTCAAAGTCACGAGAGTTGCGCAATGCAAAACCCAGACTATTATTTACAGAATTTAGAAGGTAATTTATATGCGGATTGAAACTGAGGGTTGTGTCAAAGGTGACTCCAAGATATTTCAATTCTCTTAGATTTGGCAGCGTTGTTTGATTAACCTTATAATGATATTCTATGGAGCGTTGTTTTCTGGAATACGTCATGCTGGTACACTTGGACGCATTCATGGATAGGTTATTATTATCGCACCAAAATATTATTCTGTTGAGATTATCTTGGAGACGTTCGCAATCGGTGCTGTTGCTAACTTGAGTATAAATTCTAAGATCATCGGCATATAAGAGATATTTGCAATCAATAACGTCACAAATGTCATTGATAAATATGATCAAAAGAAGTGGTCCTAGCGATGATCCCTGTGGAACACCTGATGTTGGAGTAAACTTTTGAGATTTGGATCTCTTGAATTCCACAAACAGCTTACGGTTGGACAGATAGGATTTCAAAAGGCATACTAAATCATCTGAAAAGCCCATTCTATCAAGTTTTGCTAGTAGCAGATGAAGGTCCAGCCTACCAAATGCTTTACTAATATCTGTATAAATGACATCGGTTTGCACTCCAGCGTCCAGGGATTCAGAAATGAATTGTGAAAAACAAATTAGGTTAGTCGTTGTGGACCTCCCTTCCATAAAACCGTGCTGAGGAGATATACTCTTACTGACACTAACATATACAAAATTGTACAATAAGTACTCCAAAGCTTTGGAGAAGTTACATACCAAAGTAATGGGTCTATAATTTTCTATAGCAGTTCTGTCACCTTTTTTAAAAATTGGACATATTCTTGCTTCTCGCAAAACGTCGGGATATATTTTAGTTTTCAGAATAATATTGTATATTTTTGTTAATGGGCATGCAAGGACAGACGCACAGTCTCTCGGCAAAAAAGAATGAAAAATAAATTGACCACTGGTAGTATAGGATGAAGGTACTTGACGGAGCCAAATGAGGATTCATTGAAAATACTGTTAGAAAAAAGTTGGTAAACGCATTTGCTATCTCATCAGGCGTGCTGTAGGTAGTGCCATTGTAGTTCATTTCATAGACTGGATAGTTGTGACCTTTTTTATTGCGTATATGCGACCAGAAACTATTAGGATAATTAGCGATATGATTTTGAATGCCTTTTAAGTATTTTTTATATGCAGAATCTGTATCTCTTTTGATTTTTGCTCTCAGATTTTTAAACTCCTCAGACATTTCAGCTTGTCCATATCTTTTGTACAGTTTGTGCAGCTTATACTTGCTTTTTATGTTCCTAATTATTTCACCATTAAACCAAGGTGGGTATTTCCTGCGGCTTAATTTAGTTTTTGGGACACACATTTCGAATATGCAATTTAGTGTACTGTAAAATAAACTACACGCAATATCAGAGTCTTATAAAACATCCACCAACTTGCTCATACAGCAGAATAAAATTAGCTTCTCGGAAATTAAAATGTTCTATCGGATTTACTGTGTTCTGTGTGAGATTCCGAATACTGTTTTCTAGGGTGATAGGAAGGAGGGTGATAGACTTCCTCTGGAAGTAAATATTCGTATGCCTTTTCAACCGTACAGCATCTCTTAGAAAAAACCAGATCCAGCACTCTACCATTAACATTCAATACAGAGTTATACTGTTTAAGATCAAGTAATGTCGTAAACGATACAACCGCTGCACTCCTTCGAGAATTTTGACTATTGTCATCCTGGAGAAACTCTGGAATATTGAAGTCACCGATGATATATAGATCGCTGCCAAAGAGGTAGTCCAGAGACTCTATATGCTCGAATACTCTCTCATAGCAAGCTGCACTCGTGTGTGGGGGTATGTATACTACAATGAGATAAACAGATTTGTGCTTAATTTTAAATCGTGTTTCCATAATGTCGATGCTTGGTATATCTTCACTGATAAGACTTAAGGTCAGAAGGTTTTAATCACCCCTTGATTGCGATTAATGCCCCACCCCCATCAATTTTGTTCAGAAGGCTAAGAATAAATGGGAATGGGAAAATCCTGGTTTCCCATTGTCAGAAAGAGGAAAATATTAGGAATTTTTCACTACAGATCTAAAATATGAATTAGCCAGTTTTACGGGCATTTTTCGGAAAATCGTAATTTTACTAATGACAGCCCGATAGATTATTTGAAGTTCATGATTGCAAACAATCTTGAAGACAGTTTTCCAGAGAGCTGCAGTTTGTTCAGATTATTTTTGACTTTGCCTATCAGTTCAGCTAGAGCTGAACGTCTCATGAGCTCTTTGAAAATTATTAAAGAATACCGTCAAGCTTCTTTGGCTAAAGACACACTCAACAACTTCTCTAACCTATATATTGAAAGATCAGTAGCTAATACACTCAAGTTGGATCCTGCGATGGAAGTTATAAGAATATAGTAAAAAACAGAGGTTACAGTGCACAGCAACTACTATTGTGCATATAATTGTAAGCCCCTGTTAATATGTGACATCCTTATTGCCAGCAACAACTGTGGTTCGACATTTATCTGAACAATTTTGATGGATTTTACGTTATCGAAAAATTTGAGATCCGCGTGAATATTGAAACAGATGAATTAGCTGTTTTTTTGGCATGTTGAAGCAGCATCAGATTAACTTTTTGCATCAGATTACTATTAAAAAACTTTTTGCACTCTCCATGAGCTTGTTTCGGTTACTTATGCACGTATTTCTAATGTCATTAATTTGCAAATAGCGATAAATGTGGAGAATCTCACTTTCGCAAATAGTGCCCAGTATATATCCTGTAGTGCACGTCATTTAACGTATTTTAGTGTTGTTCACCAAGTTTGTGTTCAATGAAATATTAACCCATATCATACCAATGATACAAAACTAGTAAAAGTCACTGTTTTTTAATACACTTTATTAGTACATGCAAATGAAACGTTTACAGTTCTTCAATTATTTTTGCATACTGATCATCCAAAAAATGCGTGGTTCGATTGTGCACCGCTGGTACCAAAGACAAACTTTTAATAGGGCAAATATATTATATAGTATACTTCAATCCCTTCAAAAATTGGAGATTCTTAGTGGAATTATTATATTTTATAATGGACATAGTTAAAAATTATCCAGTACATAGAACTTCCATGTTTTTTTGGTGTTGCCTTCACACACCATTGGGATGTTGGCCGACAGAAATATATTCATTTCTGATGATATTTTTCGAAGCAGGATACGTGTAAATGTACGTTACACCTTTTGCACATGTGCACTGTGTGACTATGACATTCTCTGCAACGTCTTCGTGCCTTATTCGGGTGACGAGTTACAGTATGGCCACAGTCATCAAACCGAACCTCAACAACTGGTTGCAAATTTCGAGGAATATGATGCCTGTCTGTCTTCATAAGACGAATGGCTACGTAGGATTTGAAATCCAATTGCTAAATTTTGTTCTGATTTACGGAATTATAAAGTTTCCAGCAATTAACGATGATACTGTCGATTGAATTACAAAATATGGCCCACCACCATTTCTTTCCCATGACTCTAATTCTGTAGTTTGCAATGCCATTATCGTGAAGATCGACACCTCCCATACAGCGATTGTACCTAGCAATGACGTTTGGTTGCTGTACATGAATGTATCTTTGGTCTTTCCTGTTTTATCGGCGGACTTGGTTTATAGGCTCAACATTGTATACATTGCTACAAATGGTAACTATAGCATTATCATTCCAACGAACCATTGAAATTTTGTTATTTTTGTCATACGCGCAATCATACGCTCCTCGTTCTCGCTTGGACATGATTTTTGGTTCAACTAGCGGACAGTGTCCTGTTTGATTACTTCTTATAGTTCCTGTGGCATAAAAATCTTTGTTCTTCAGGTCAACTAGGAGTTGATATGAAGAAAAGAAGTTGTCGAAGAAAATATTATGTCTAGCAGGATAATCCACGTTGGCAAGTAAATTGTTGACGATTTCACCACCAAGTCCCAATGATGTCCTTTCTTTGTTAGTGATTGCTCCTGCATATGGAATAGAATAGAATAAATATCCATCTGACGAACATAAACACCACTGCTTGAATCCAAATCGAACTGGCTTGCCTTTTGGCTTGGAATCTATTCCGACTCATGCACTTTTTCACTATGTCTATCCCCTTGTCCTCCTAGTTTGACCAATAGAGCGGAACTTGCGGCAAGGTGTGATACCCAGAAAACAGCATACTGCCTAGGATGTTCAGAAGTTCTCCTTTGGACAAACAAAATCCACGTCTGTTGTTTTGTTGGGCGTATTTCACAGAAAAATCTAAAATCAAATTTATCAAATCATCATCAAAGAAAAGAAAAAACATCTCTAATGGCGTTTTTCCAGCCAGTTCATTCTTTAAATGCTCCATATCAATGTCTGCGTTGCTGATGAATGAATGAGTGTACTCCAGTGGACCCTTTTCCCACTTTGGCTGGAGGGGCGGCACAGCAAAAGTTGTGGATGTGACTGGCACGGGGGGAGGAACCAGTCGCAATTTTTTTGACGTCAAAAACTCATCATCGGAAGTATCGAATCCATCATCGTCAAAAAAAATGGCTTCCTCTATGTTTGGGATTTCAGCACCATCATCTTCATTCATAAATGCATGGAGTTCAAATGTACCAGCAATGTCTGAAGGACCTGGTACATCAATTTCGGGTAGTAGCTCATCTTCTACATCCTCCTCGTCAGTTACATTGTCTACATCTGGAGGTATGTAAACAGCATCAAGAGCACCTACGCAAAAATAAAAGGGATGCAAATGAGGTTAGGTTAGGAGTTTTCGCACACAAACCTTTTCTGTAGTTGTACAGTTCTTGTCCAGCTTCTTCAACGGCAGCTTCCAATTCACTTTGAGTCAGAAATCTTCGAAATAACATTCTTAAGATGGATGTATGTACATATCTCGATGGTATGCACTAAACACAACTAAAACGCAACTAACGTAAACACCTGCAAATGCGTACTGCGTACGTCAAGTTCTCGCGCTAACTTGTCTGAACAGGAAAATACTTAACTGTTAAAACCAATGGTGCATAAACGCACCAACAAAGTTTCCTCTTGTATAACTTCAATTATAAGATCGAAGCCAAACTTTTGACAAACAACGTACAGACCACATAAGTTTATTTTCCACTATTTACAGGTAATTATAGGAAAAAATGAGTCATTGACTTTTTGACATGTTTTACGGAACCAAATATAATATTCATGTCAAAAACCACCGCCATTTTTTCCCTTTGCTGTCAAGGTCAAAAATAAATTAAATTTGGATACAGTAGCAACAGATTATCTCAAACTACACGTATTAAGCAGTTAGAACAAGGAACTATCCGGGAAAAAAATCATAAAATTGGCGGTGCGTAAGCGCACCACTGGGACCAAATGGGTTAATCACGGCAAACACGACAACAACTATCGATCACATTTGTTTTTTTCTCTTAATTATAATTTTATGCAAATTCTATAAATAGCGTGCACTCCAAATTTGACTCGACGCCCTTTACTTATCCATAGCAACCGTGATAGCTTTTAAACTCTATTATGCACAAGAAGTTTGCCTGTTCGTACTATTAAATGCAAAAACTAGTCTGATTATTTTCTGAGTTTTCATGCAGATTTCAAAGTTTCCATTGCCGTATTCCATTTGTCCTTAATTGCAATAGTTTATGTTATTCGCATTCCTTAAATCCGCCACTGGTCCGTCAAAGAGTATTTTTTAGCAAATTTGCTCACAGCTTAAGCGCGCGCGAAGATGTTTTTCCTACATCAAGCTGACCGCATAGGCAACCAGTCTTGCGCTATCATCTATGACCTTGCAGATAAATTAAAGTTCACGGATGCAGTGCTGTTAGTGTTTAGTAGAAAATACCAGTACGGCATCCATTTAATATGTGTGCATTACAGATTAATCTAAGAGATTTGGAACTTTAAAAATTAGTGGTCAAACTAAATTCGCTTGGGGGGGGGAATGACCCCCATGACCCCCCCTGGAGCTGCGCCTGTTTATTGATGAATTTTACCTTACCGAAATCTGTCCATCCACTTGAGAGCTTTAGCCTATAGGGGATTAAAAACCATACAGAAAATGTTTTGTAACTTTTGATTGGTTCTACCGATTTTCATTAAAAGACAAATAAAAATCAAATAAATGCACTCCCGTCTGTTCATCTGGCTGATACCTTTTGAACGACTGACTTTCGATGGAAGACGACTTAGCAATTTCCAAACTAAACTCTTTCATTTGATACCCTATTCAGTCATATTTGCTTAGATTGAGTACTTGAGAGTGTTAACTTTGTATCAGTTCTTCTATTGTAGCTGCAATTGTGTTTCCAAGTACCTACTTCGAGAGCTGGTTCAGGACCCAAAAATCTTCCTTCGGACCAAGCGCTTGAAAGGGAATCAGAGTAGTGAGACCTGAAGTCTGATTATAAGTGAACTGTGACCCACGAAATTGATTTCGACATCGCTTTCGCGTCATAATTTTGACCTACTAGTATGATTTTGTCATTGCGATGATCATGTCGATATAGAAATCAGTTATATTCATGCGCCCAGAAACTATGATGGCAGATCCCGGCGCGGGTATCATGTAATAAACCTATTAAACGTCAAAAACAACTTATAAGATGTCATCTTGCAAACTAGATAGTTTTTAGGGCGCAAACAGTCATTTCACGTTTGCTCACTAGGATCGTTGTGAAAGTCCATCTAAGGAGGAATCACTCAACTAAACTACACGCATTGTTGGTTGCATATGTTTTGTGAGGCCAAATAGTCATTGTCTGTAGTTTTAATCTCTGAGAAGAAAGTTGGTTGAATAGCAAGATCGCATTTGGATGATTATGTGTATTGGTCTGCAGGTGTATAAAATCAGTGACATTTGCTGTGTGAGAAAATCATTACTGTATATGCTGCCGATGAAGTATATCTATTGGCTATGCCCGACGGGTTATTTCTATGTTGTGCTTTCTGAAGAGAGGTTATGTTCAAAGTTATAAATTACGAAAAACTGAGGAGAATTGCGGGAAATCATCACCGCGCCCGCGTTGTGTGTAATTACTGTTAGCATGTATATGACTTGTAATTCAACAGTGTACAGTGAATATAATTATTTCTTATCTCTCTCATTTTTGAAATTCAGCAAATGTGTATATGTAATTTCCAGAATGGGTAAGAAAAAGTGGACGCGCAACTAGCTTTGAATCTGAATTAAGTGTATTTGAGACAAGAGCCCAATGTAATTATCATCAACGCATACAACTTACAGCTTAGACCTCTAGAAGTAGACTTTACATCACATCAGAGCCAAAGGTTAATAAGCCTCATGACGTTTAGGCAACACGTACAACTAAGTGCTAAGTTAATATCTTGTAGAAAAACCTACATAATGTCAAAAAAAAACAGCATAATGTGAACCCCCCCCCCCCGTGCGGAGCATATACTACGAGTATAAAAAGTCCCCTCCCTTCTACTTATTTTGTAACGGAAGCTAGCAAGCTGAAATTTGATGTGATGACATTGATGCATAGGTGCTATATTTAAAGGTAGAAGTAGCAGTTCAAGTATTTTAAGATGGCGGTTGGGTACCATCTTTTTTTAACTGGAATGGGGGATCATGTGGCACGTCATTTTGAAGCTCTTTAATTGTGCTGGCAGACTGTTAAAGTTGAGTGTTTCTGAACAACCTTGAATTTTCCAAATGAATATTCGATTTTTACAAGATAAGTAGATTTATATAATGTAATCCCTCTTGTTTGTCTGGCCATATCAAACCACTTATATGTTTAAAATTCCTCTTTATTGTACGGCGTTTCGGTCCCAACAGTGACCTTCTTCAAGTACAATTGACACATTTGATAATAAATTTTGTTTATCTGTCTTCCAGGTGAAACTTCATTTGTTTTTCCTTTCACTTACACATTTCTATACAGTGTGTTATTACAATAGACTGATCGCTCCCATCACATGCTGAGCTTACATAGAGCCATCACTGCAATTTTTAAATCGCCCCGAAACCTTCTAAAATAAAGAGGGATTTTAAACATAAATGTGGTCTTATTCTGCCTGACTGACAAGGGAGATTATCAGCATGGGGACAGGGATGTTTCAGATGTTACATTAAATTAAGTACTTTAGCTTTGTGATGATTGGCTGTTGAGGTATAAGTGATTCAATGTGAAAAAACTCTCAATCCGTTAACAAAATAAGTAGAGGGGTGCTTTTTAAGATGGTAATGATGGTAAGGCTACATCGAAAGCAAGTTCAACTTACCCTGCAACATCGGGTAGAGCCTCTCCTACGTTCCATAACAAGACCGTCTTATCTCTAAAAGCACTTGCTGCTTTAATTATTGCTTGGTTCTAGTCTTCCAGACCCTTTTTAATCTTGAGTATTATGAGACACCCAGACACTCCATGATTCCTGTAGCCAACGTTAGGATTAACTCAGCTTTAAACTTTTATTACAACAGCTACGGGAAAGAATTAATTTTTTAATGATAGGAAACCATTTCTTCGTAGTAGATTCGACGCTCATGGCGGTGGCCTAAATACCCACATGTCAGCGTTTGACTGCTTTGATTCAAGGATCTTCTCGGTGACCAAGGGTCAAGAGGTCGCAATGCCAGCTCTCGCTGTCGCCCACTGACCGAAGCACGACCTTGTCGCCAAATGGTATTCGTTACGAGTATGTGTAATTCTATATTTTTACTGACATGAACTAGATACTAGAATTTCAGACAACTTTCCTGTTCTTTCTCGATGGTCTTTCTGGACGAGAAAGTAGAATCACTGAGGGGGGGGTCGAGGTCCTCTTCTCAAACAAGTTTGTAAATGCATCAATTTTCGGCAAATCGAAAATCGGTTATGGCGGCGGTCCTCCAGGCAAAAAACAAAAAAACTTCTCTCAAACTGCGTTTTTCGACGTTCCAGAGCATCATTTTTAGAAATTGGGGAGGGAGTGACTATCAGTCGCATATGCCGTGCGCCACGGGGTTACTCGACACGACATCTATGAGTAGTCTCGCCAATCGTGATTTCAAGAAGCCTATTTCTCTTCTTTGCTTTCCATTATCTGTCTCCAAATGACTAGATCTACCTTTATCGCACTGATCATTGCTAAAAGGCATAAAACAACCTGGTATACGCTTGGTTATGGCTACAGAGACGTAGAATAAGCAGACTATCTTCAGCCTGATATATTCAACATCAAAGTGACACGCAACGACGTTTCCACATTTTGCACTCAAATAATTTTCTTCTGAAATGTTGTACAATAATGCTCTCAAGCGTTTTGTTCAGCAAGTCAATTGTACTTGAGAGGAGGGGTGAACATTTTAAAAGTGACACAACCTCCATGTTGCAAGCAACCATCAATTTACCGTAATGTCCTTTTGAAGTAAATTTTATTCCTTACACAAAAAAGTAGTAACCCTTACGATTGTTTGGTTAGTGTAACCACTATGTGTAAAAATGTAATTAACTTTAACCTAAATTGAAGAATGAAGGATTTCACGGTTATTTCTAATGTACTTTAGGTTTTTCAGGCTGTTGAGCTGTGGTCTGGGGACCTCGGTTGGCCGCGTGGGTCAGAGTGTCGTGCTACTTGTTTGGAACTTTATTACATTTGGAATATTGTATCTAGTAACCCGACTTTAAGTTGCATGTGGCAACCATGTATTGTAAGAAGAAGGTAAATAGAAGTGTGGATAGTAGTTGCAGGTGTGTTAGTCTCCTAGTTTTTTCCTGATTGTATAAGTAAAAAGTAAAGTAAGTGGTGACTACAGCCCATGAAAGCATCAGGGACGCCATCCGGCATCAATTGCAGATCCGAGGTAAACCCTTTACAACATTTTTGGTCCTAATCGAGCACGGATACCAGCGGATCTTCTTTTCGGCGCATGAGGTAGCCGCCATTTTGATGACGGTAGCATCCACGTAGCAACAGTAATAGGTCAGGGGACGGAAGACTATTCCACCACCTGTAAACCTTTCCTTAGATTTGCGTCAGTTATATACGCGATCTTAGAAATTACAGTTAGCGTCAGTTATATACGCAAAGTTGATCAGTTACAGTAAGTTAGCGTCAGTTATATACGCAAAGTTGATCAGTTACAGTAAGTTAGCGTC